GTTGTTGGCTGGAAAGCCAGCAGTCCGGGTTCGAGACTCTAGTGCCATGCAATAGGGGAGCTCCCATCCTTGCCCCTGCTCTTGCTCCTGCCCACCTAGCCGTTTGAAAGCATGCAAATGCAAGTAGATAAATAGGTACCACTTCTCTGGGACTGTGAAAACACTCCATGATGTCATGCTGGCCACATGACTGCAGAAATGTCTTTGGACAGCACTGGCTCAATTGCCTTGACTATTGCCCCCTATAGTCACAACAACTAGTGGAGTAAATATCCTCAGGGTTACCTTTTCCTCCTAGTCATAGGAAAACGCTCCTAAACATTTACAGTGAAGAATTTACCTTTTGTCTGGTGATCTACCATTAGAAGAGATGTTTTGCTAAAGTTGACCTTTAAAAGTAAAGATTATTTGCTTACTGTTAAGATTGACTTTAAAGGAACAAAGTACCGTATCTTTAGAGTAAATGTACTCAACTATGCTGTGGACTTCATTCCTTTGTTAATCACTACAGTTAATATGGCTCCTATTGACCTAGTAGAAGACTCAGGAAATTAATTGCTTTTTAATTCTGTGCCAAAGAATGCTTTAGCTAAAATGGATGAGGTTTTTTTTATAAAAATAAGAAAAAAAAAGTGTGACAATACTCTGTTTGTTCTAGTTTGTTGCCTGTCACTCCTTTCAGCTGTTCAAATATTATTCTTCTGAGAGGCATGAATCTTCTTCAGTCAAAACAGAACCTTCAAGAGAACTGACAGATGAGATACTGTAAAGAAGTGTGATCAGCAGTGGTCATTTAATACATAAAACATACATGAATTTCCTGACCAGATCTTTGAAGCATGCTTCAAACTTGACATGGATGCACTTCACCTGGGAAGGGGTTGCATTCTGAAAATGGGTAGCAGAAAGGCAAAGAAATAGACAAGGCCACACAAAAGCTAAATCCAATTTAAATTAATTGGAATGGAATTTAGGGAAATACAGGAAATGCAACCCTGATGTATTTTTCCCCCTTTGTCACCCGAATGATTATGTTTCAGCAGCAATTTGTGGGATAATGTGCCACCTAAAAAATATGCTGTCTGCAGATTCCAGAATTTCTCTAATCCCTAAACAGTTGCCTATGGATATCTTCCCCCAATTATGTTGAACTCTTTGAAAATATGTCCAATTTCTTGGGAGATTCATCAAGCTTGTCAGATATGGGCGGAAGAAGCACTGAGGTTGCTTGAACCCACCATTCACCCAAGAGATTGTTGTCTATAAACCACAAAGGGCTGGTTCCCACAACAAATGGCTTGAAAACAAAAACAATCACATTATATCTTAGTAGATACAATATTTACAAAATAGAGGCACATACAAATCTTTATGAAATGGAAAAAAATTGTATGAAATTTAGTATGTATGTAGGTGTGTGTGTGTATATGTACATGTACATGTATACATGTACATATATATGTTCAAAACCATGCTAAGTTTGAAAAAAGAAGCAGAAGGTGATGATGTTGGGAAGATTTGCCCAATCTTGTCCATCTCACCTATGCTTAGTACCAGGGCTGGGCTGCTGGTGGTTTGCAGGGGTTCAGGAGAGCCCTTAGCAGGGGTGGGATTCTACCAGTTTTCACCTATTCGCTAGAACCGGTTGTTAACATTCTAAGCAGTTCGGAGAACCAGTTGTTGGAAGAAATTACTGGCCTAATCCTGTGAGGAAGGCAGGAAGAAAACATTCTGGTGTTGCTTACAGAAACTGCCTCTCCGTTAATCCTTATTACATTCTTGGCAGGATTAGACTTCCTGTCTCAGGAACTTCTCTAGAGTTTTTTTCCTCTCCTTTGCTGGTACTTTGCTTGTGTGGAGTGACCATTCAAAGTTACAATGGCACTGAAAAAAGTGACTTATCACCATTTTTCACACTTACGACTGTTGCAGCATCCCCACAGTCATGAGAGGCCAGGCGAGGAGATACGTGCCTCAATGTGAGTGGTATTGAGTTGGCCACACCCAGCCAGTCACATGACCACCAAGCCACGACCACCCAGTCACATGACCACCAAGCCACACCCACCAACTAAGCCACGCCCATAGAACCGGTTGTTAAAAAATTTGAATCCCACCCCTGGTCCTTAGCTAAGATTCTGTGCAGTTTGGAGAACCCTCAAATCCCACTCCTGGCTGAGTAGGTTGCCAGGCATCTGAATTTTGACCACGTGACCATGGGGATGCTTTGTGCCTAAGGCAGGACTAGAATTGACATTTTCCAGCTTTCTAGCTTTGATGCCTTAACCAAGACTCCAAACTGGATTTCCATATTTAGATTTGGTGTTTAAAACAGCTTTTGTTCATTTCTTTTGAGGATAATGTTAAGTGGCTGGTGATAGAAGATATTTTTTATTACCAAAAAGTATTTTAGAAATGGAGCTGGGCAGAGATGTGGATGTTAAGGGCAAAATACGGAGCACAATTTATATTTAATTATTCAGACCATTTGTATCCTGCCAGCGTGACTCTTGACATAATGCATGTGCACCTAGCACCTGTTGGGAATATTTTAAATCCGACTTCTCTTTCTCAAACTGCAGAGGGGAGCTGCATGAGTCCAGGAAAAGATTTAGCTGCTTTAATAGCTTGTTTAAAGCCACTAAATAAATTCAGCCAATGTGAAGGAGTCCTCTGATTTGGGCTGCTTGGTGCATTTTCTTACATCTGCCCTTGAAAGTGATGTAGACAGACACCGAATCACTAACAACAAATCACATTAATTCAGTGAGTTTTATTGCCAAATGCGACTACAGGGTCATACCCTAAATAGAACACAATCCTAGATGGAGATTTCAGCAAAGCCAGCTAGGAAAGGCGACAGATGGTGTGCCATTCATTCTTTCCCTTGGATTCTGTAACAGCTGTTTCACTATTGTATGTCTGCTTCAGTGGGTCCAGACAGAGAGGACCTTATGGCAGAAATCCAAGTTACACTCAGCAAATTGTGGAAGAGGACCCTCAAATGCAATAGGAAAAGCCCACAATTTGTAGTTGTTGAACTAATGCAAACTTCTCCCTAAGTTGTCTAAACTTATTCAACATCAGAACTGCTGACTGAAGTGTAAAGGAAAGAAACCCCCTATTTTCTCTTCATGGACTGAAATGCACAATAAAGCAAATAAAAAGTTAGCAAAGATGACCCTGAACAAAGAAGCTGCTGTACTAGAGCTGTAGTTGTCCCGAAAGCTAAAGAAATGTCTGATTCTCCCTTGCCCTATTTTTACTGCCGGGATATTGAAGAGTCACTCACATAAGTTTCATTCTCAGTGGCCTTAAATAACTTGAACAAGTACTAGGATAAGGGATGCCATTCAACGGCAGAACAGGGCTGCCAATGGTTTGCTATTTACCTCCAGCATCAAAGCGCCTGGGGTGGCCCGCCTGCCAGGCCACTCTTGAAGTTATTATATTCTGCTTTTCCAAATTCTAAATGAAGGATTAATTCACCCTGCATTATTCGCCAGTCATTCTTTTATAGGAACATTAAGAAGGATGCTCCCGGGCAAATATACCAATCCATCTTATCTTTTATTTTTATTTATTTATTTATTTGTCAAGCGATTACAAGATAACAGGTATAAGTATAAACATAATTATGGATACATGAAATGGATAAATATAAGAAAAATAAAAAAGAAACAATAGGACAGGGACGGTAGGCACGTTGGTGCGCTTATGCACACCCCCTACAGACCTCTTAGGAAAGGGGTGAGGTCAATAGTAGATATTCTAAGGTTAAAGTTTTTGGGGTTTGGGGAAAGAAACCACAGTATCAGGTAGAGTATTCCAGACATTGATCACTCTGTTGCTGAAGTCGTATTTCCTGCAATCAAGTTTGGTGCGATTAACCTTGAGTTTGTATCTATTGTGTGCTCTTGTGTTGTTATGGCTGAAGCTGAAGTATTCATTGACAGGTAGGATATTGCAATATATAATATTATATATATATACTGTATATCTATCTATCTATATATATGTTATCTTAAGTTTTCACGGGTATTTATATGTTTGGTATTCAGCTTTGTTCGGGTATTTTCCCACATCATTAAAGTTTCCCACATCATTTTAAAGTTTAAAAGCACAACTATAATGATGTGGGAAAATACCCGAACAAAGCTGAATACCATACATATAAATACCCGTTAAAACTTTAAGAATGTGTGTGTGTGTGTGTGTGTGTGTATGTATATATAATATATATATAAAAATATTAATATATAATATATAATATCTATAACGCTCCCTCATCCTTTCACTTCTCTGGCCTCTCGTTCCTCGTTTTCTTTGGTCTTTTCTTACCGTCTTACCCGCCTGAACCCACCACGCGTGATCCCGTCCGCTTTTTCTTCCATCCATCTAAAACAAACCCGCTTGCCGCGTCTCTCCGGTAATCGGGGCGGTCGCCGCCGGCGATCGATGGGAGGGCGGTCTCTCCGGCTGGCGGCGGCGGCAGGACGGGAGGAAGCCCCGCCTTTTTCTTTGCCACGACTTTGATTGTTGTTGTTTTGCTTCGGCGGGAGTGCGCAGCCAGGTCGGTGCGTTCTCCTCCTGCTTCTCCGGGTGCGAGGCAAGGCGAGCGCCCGTTGCGTTCCCTCCGGCGGGCTTGTGCCGTTTGGGATGGCGTGCGCCTGCGACGCAAGCGGGCTTTGTGGGGAGCGGAGGCAGCGCCGGGAACGACAGGGAGGCGGCGGAGGCGGCGATACTGGGACCCACCTTTCTTTGGGGCTAGTTTAGGAAGGAGGGAGGTCACAAGCGGACCAACGGAGGCTCTCCGGGGCGGCAATTGATGGGGTGCCTGGCGGGATTTTGCGCCTTTTTGCAGGCTTCTGGGCCCTCGTCCCTCCCTTCCTCTTGCTTCTTGCTCCTTGCTTTGCTTTGTGCCGGCTCTTCCCTTGTCTAACTGATTGCCTCTTTCCTCCTTTCTGTTACTTTCTGTCTTGCTTGGCTGCTCCTGGCAGGTCCCATTTGCTCTAATTCGGGCTACAAGAAGGCGGATGATGAGATGTCCGGGGCCACGTCCTCTGCAGACCAGGGAGAGGCAGCAGCTCGCACCATTTACTTGAATGAACCTCAGCAAAGCAAGTTCCGCGACAACCGGGTCAGGTAAGAAGAGCCCCGGTCTCCACAGTAGAGGCAGGGGAAAGAGAGGAAGCTGGGTGAAAGTCCAGACTGAGCCCAAAGTACCACCATCCGCTGTGAATTTGACCAGACTTCCAAATACCCTAATGGAAAAGTTAGGCTGCAAGAGGCTAACTCTTGCTTAGCTGCAGGGATAGAGGTGGAAGGACAAGTCAGAAGTGGCTTGTTTGTGAGTCTGACTGGGGCAGCCTTGTTTCATCTCTGTGGAGAAATTGCCACATGCTTTTTGCTAACTTCATATTACAAGGTGTAAAACTACAACAGAACTGAACATAATTTACCCTCATGCGTTGTGCAAAACCTGCTCATATTAAGTTGGTGTGTCCCTTTAATTCTGGAAAGTTGGACTTAGAGACCGAACTATGGCTGAACAAATCCTGGAAACACAAATTTAAGGCGCCAGATTTAGTGAGTCCCACTTTTCTAGATTTCACAAGAGAGAAAGAACACCTATAAGGTCGAGAGAGTGCATTCAGTTAACTTAAAAAAAACAAAAACAGGGAGTGAATTATGTTTGTGCCTCAGTCAAACAGAGACGTTGAAGCTTGTGGTATCCGCACCAGAATGTTTTATTTTAATTATTCAGTAGCTGTTAGCCAGAATGATGTCCAAGTTTCTCTGAGCGGTGAAATAATCATATAAGGAAGTAGGTATGAAGCAGTAGAAAACCAGGATTTCCTGATCAGACTAAGAAAGAGAGTGAAAGTCAAAGGGAAGTGATGGCTAATAGGCTGTTTTTTACCAGTGGAAGAGAATATTTTTAGCTTAAGGTTGAACTGTGGGATCTTTGGTGCTCTCTGAGTTTGGTAGTTTTCTTGCAGATGTTTCATTACCAAACTAGGTAACATCATCACTGAGGCACAATAGTGAGAGATCAGTTACTTCTGATTGTACAGTGACTCTCTTACTCGGGATGAGGAGATAAGCTAATAATGGACAGCATTGTTGGGCAGCCGGCTAAATATGGACATGTGTAAAAGAAGTTGCAAATTCACCATATCTTATTTGCTCTCCAAATGGGAAAAAAGACTAAATCATGCATGTTAATTCAATATGCATAAGGCATCATGTTTTTGAGAAGAGGGAATGACAGTTTTTGTCAGTTCTTGTCTACTGTATTGTGTGTTTGACAGGTGCTCAGTTATATATTATGCTTAACCATGGCCTGTTTTAACAAGTTTGTTGAATAAGCCATGCTCAGTATGGCTTATACCAAGCCAAAACCAAAGAAGAAAAACACATTAACAGTGCATTTCGTGATCTCAGCCAGCAACTTTCCCAGTTCTTTCCATTTCCTGAAACTTGATCTTTTTATTTTGACATGGCCAAGGATTGATTTTGTGTGAGATGTGTATTTAGGCAAATATTGATGAATGTGTTTTGATACACCACTGATGTGGAGTCAGTCAGAAACCTAAAACACTGCTTTAAAAGACACTGGTTCACATATGTGACTTTTAAATTTTCCTATGTGTGAACCCAACAATAATGGCTTATTGTTGGTCTTTATTAAAATCGTGGTTTGATAATGATGCATGAATTAAGGTACTAATTAGCAGCAGTTCTGCAGAGTTTCAAACCAACATATCCAACTTCATGTCCAAATCTGCCTCTTTTACCTATACATTGCCATTAAAGGAGAGATTCCCAGACTGTTGTCAGTGCATATGTTGTTCGAGTGAAGCCAGTTGTGTGAATGGAGCTTTGAAAGATTAGAATTGGAACCATTACTCTTTCCCTCTTTGTTACTGTTTTTAATAATACATATTTAATTTGTGTGTTAGACAAAATGATAAATTGTACTTTGGATAGCAAATGTTAAAAATCCCGTCAAAGTAGTATCAATTGAAAGGATTAGATTATTAAACCTTTGGCAAGATTTTGGTCAAGAAGGTTATTGCGTTTTGTCAGGATTGCAGCATCCGTTTTAAACAGACAAACAATGATAAAGTGGCTGAAATAATTTATCCAGTCCTGAAAAGCATCTTTAATGCAGGATGATTGCTCTTTGGCATCGGCTGGACGAATCTTAAGTAACAGATAGCACATTAAAATAATATGGTGATGTGAATATCTCAAGATGTACAGACTAGAAGAGGATGAGAAAAGCATACTAGAAAATATTGCAACAGGAATTTTGGCTATTCCCTACCTTGCACCTTTCCTTGAATGTCCTATTCCCCCTCCCCATTTAAACATTCTGTGATCCCAGAAGATCTACTTTTGATCAGTGGATTAAGTTTTGTTGAATGAGAGTCCCTGTTCCAGCTCCCTGCCAAGAAATTAGACAGGCTTTCTTTCCTCAAGACTCACCAAAACGCTCACTCACTTTTCACATGCCCATTTCCTTCTATCTAAAAATATCTGCAAACATTTGTTGTCTGCCCTTGTCATGGATTTCCTTGAAACATATTACTTTGTTCTTCAGCAGAAATGATCCCAAAGTGATTGCTAGAATAATAAAAAGAAGAGGCTCTTTGCCTAACAAATATAACTTTGACAAAAGTTATATTTGATTTTTAGACAAAAGACCAGCAGTAGCTGGCACTCGGATGAGAAGTAGAGCTGGATCTTTCAGAATTTTTCTCAAGCACTTTGAGAGCATCAGGTTGGGAAGGCTGCTGTAGAGTTATCTGGATGTCAGCATTACTAGATTAAAAGGGACCTGCTTTCAAATAGAGATATGAATAGAATTGCTGTGTTGGCCATTCCTTTCCATCAAGTTGCAAGTTCTGTAAAAGTCTGCTGCTTCCATCACAATGTGTGATATACCTTTCATTCTGCCACAGATAGTTGAGCCGTGAGGAAAATAGATAAAATCCCTCAAATTCAACAAATCCAAAATCACTTTTTAAACTTTTATCCTATGACTCATGACTCCCCCAGAACTTCAGTCCTGCGCGTCAGTTGAATTAAAACCGACTTCTATACAAGATTGCACTGTCGTTGTATTCATTTATTATGAAAAAAATATGGGCTAGGCTACACTTCAGAGCTTGGAAAAAAATCAGCAGTTGCTTAATTGTTCTTTGTTGCAATCAGCAGAAATGTAAATTGAGAGCTTCAGTAGCACAGTAGCCTGCTAGGACCAGGAAAATGCAGCTCTGAGTCCACTCTGTGTTATGAAAGTCCATTGTGCTTTGGGGCCAATCATCCTCTCTCTTACCATACCTTGCAAGGTGATTATTATGGGAAAAAATTGAAGTAAGGAGTGCTCTGCGTATCACTTTGTGTTCCTGACAGAAAGGTCAGATAAAAATCTAATGCACCAACAAATTGCTTATCTTTGGGTGGATTATCCACTGTGTAAGGAGTAGAATTCTAACCCAACTTCTCTGTGCATTTTAGATTAAGTTTTTTCTTAGGTTTTTTTTAAAAATACATCAGCATCTTGACTTTTACCTTTTCCTTGTGGTTTGGTGAGCTTCAATTTTTCTGTTATCCATTTATGTTCTTCAGTTTTTGAATACTAAAAGGCTGTATGTGGAGTTAGGTATATCATAACATAGCAGCATTGGGTGCTGTGAAAATGCATTGCAGGATGCCTGTGTGGTCTCTTTAGGTGTATAAAGAATGGCAAAGTACAAATTTTTCCAGGCAGAGTCTGTTCACTGATTTGACCTTAATCACCAGTCTTCAAGCCCAGCATGCTAGCCCCAAAGTTTGATTAGAGTAAATTAACGGCATTTAAAAAGTGGCATGGTGGCTTAGGAATGAAATCAAAGGGGAAAGTTTTAAATTTAGGTAAATGAAAGGTATTTTTTTCTTAAGTTCATGCTTCAGAAACCTTGTCTAGCTTAAAGGAGATGGTGAAGAAGTGCTGGAGATGGTATCAGAAAACTATGAAGTCCAGGGTCCTGAAGTATATTCGTGATAACAATTTATACTAAGCCATCCATTTACATTTTCCACTCACTGCTGCTTTAAAAGAAAGCAAGAGCCATAAGGTTCATCTGTAGTTGGGAGGGGAGGCAGTATATTCCCTGTGTTGCACCATCAGCTCTGCGTTACACGCTCTTATCCGTGTGCTAGGAAAAAAGTGTGGTTTACCTGACCAAGGCTAGACTGGATCTACTGGCATTATGTAGGCCAGTGTTTTTCAGCTTTAAAATACGTGGCCTTCAACTCCCACTGAAATACTGGAAGTTGAAGGCCACACAATTTAAAGTTGCCAAGATTAAGAAATATTTATAAATATATTTTGGGGGGCATCCGGACCTCAGAGGATAAAGCTCTCTAGCATCTCTGAAACAATGCTTCTCAGCTTGATTGCACATGGGCAGATTCTATTTGAAGAAGAATGCCCCATGGACCCAAATTATCCAGAAGTTTAAAAAGCAAGCTCAGCCCTTTGAATTGCATTTGGAAATACTTTTTATTTATTTTATTTGATTTGTCAATTGCTTACAAGATAATAGGTATAAGTATAAACATAGCTATGAATACATGGATACATATAAGAAAAATAAAAGAAACAATAGGACAGGGATGGTAGGCATGTTGGTGTGCTTATGCACATTTATACACTGGCAACCGGAGAACCACAAACAATACTTGAGGTACCTCCAAGTAGAATACATTGCTAATCCAATCTTAGAGTAAAAACAGCATGATGAACCGATCCCAGGGCCTTTCTTGTCAAAAAATGTCTCCTTCCCTTTATTTTTGTGTGAACTTGGGAGGGTCTTGTCTGATGCCATTATTCACATTACGTTTTTGGCCTGGACTCAGGTCCCTTTTATCTGATCATTGCCTCAGTAGCGGCTCTTCCTCTTGTCCTTCAAGTGTGTTGCCTATGCCGTCTACAACAGCTAAAGAAGTGAAAACCACACATCCAGGGGAAGTTTCTTCTTTTATGAGCCAGTTTAGGAGTTATTACCAAACCTCTTAGTTTCTGAACAACAATCATTCCTAGCTAGGATTCCATTTCAACTTCTTTCAACCTATGCATCTCTTTCTGCCCC